ATGATCTCAAGGCACTCTACAAATAACCATTCTTTTAAAATCAGAAAGAATTTATTTGGCAAAATTAAGTCTAGAATGAGCATTAAAGATAATGCTGTCTGGATGATAGGGGAAGATCCTTTGGCTGAGAATGTTTTTTTTAAGCTGCTGCAGTTCAAGAGAGGTTGTACTGCTTGCATAGGTCTTAATGAACAAACACAGAGGTGCCCTCAGTTATATTTCTTTGCTATGGGTATCCCAGCACATCCTGGAGAGTCTTATTTTCTTTTTCTATCATGAACATTAAAAAATATATATATTTTTATTTTATGGAAATGTGCAAGCATATACAAAAATGTAGTGTACCCATCTACAACAATTATCAACATTTTATTAATCACCTATCCCCCTACTTTTTATTTTCTGGAATATTTTAAAGGAAATTACAGATTTTTGCCATTTCACCCACTTCAGAATGCACCCCTAACTGATAAGAACTTTTTTTTTTTTTTTTTTTTTTGTGGTACGCGGGCCTCTCACTGCTGTGGCCTATCCCGTTGCGGAGCACAGGCTCCGGACGCGCAGGCTCAGCAGCCACGGCTCACCGGTCCAGCCGCTCCGCGGCATGTGGAATCCTCCCGGACCAGGGCACAAACCCGTGTCCCCTGCATCGGCAGGCGGACTCTCAACCACTGCGCCACCAGGGAAGCCCTTTTTTCTTTTTTAACATGACCACAATACTGTTACTATATCTCATAGATGTAACAATGTCATGAAATATTTAAACATAAAGAAGAGAAGTATCAATCAGATTTGACAAAGTGTTGACAGTTTGTTAAATTTTCTTCCAATCTATTGTTTTTTTTTTAAAGGAAATAAAACTTTACTGGTACATTTGAAGTCCCCTTTTGTTATTTGTGTGTTTATTCATAAATAATATGGTATTGTTTTGCATATTTAAAACTATATACTTAATGTTTTCCTTTACATATTCTTCTGAAACTTGTTTTTATTACTTAATGCTAGGTTTTCAAGATGTATTCATTTCAGTACACATATCTGTAGCTCATTTTAAATGCTGTATAGCGTTCCATTGTGCTTATATTTCATTCGTGTTTGTATTCCAGTCGGTTTTATCAGTTTATATATTGATGGATATTTATGTTATCTACCTTTTCTTTTTTGCTATTATGAACGAGTCAGTGAACATTCTTTTGTACATTTCTTTGTGCCATTTTGTAAGAAGATATCTAAATTATAATTTACATTTCCCTGATTTCTACAGAGGTTGAGATCCTCTATAATCTCTGTTGGCCATTTGGTTTTCCTCTTCTGTGAGTTGTCATATTTGCCTCTTTTCCTAGTTGTTTTCAAAGTTGATTTGTAGGAATTCTTTGTATGTTCTTTATAATAAGCCATTATCAGTTTTGTGCATTGCTAGAATCTTTATAATTTCAGGAAACCCTTTCCTGGTCCCTGTCCCTGCTCCTTCCGTTTACTCCACTTAAGTTGGTTTCTGTTTTTATTCCTGTGGTCCTTTGTTTTATTCTTACCTACTCATTTTTGAGTTGTGCTACCAAGTCAGAGAATCCCTTCAGTTGTCCATCAGCTGAATTTGCTGTGTCACTTATGGTTTATTTTTCATTCTATAAGGCAAGCAATCCAGAGTAGTGGTTAAGAGAGTGGGGAGTCTTAACTGCTTGCTTTTGAATCTTGGCTCAGCCACTTTACTTACTGTTGTGACCTTGGCAGATTACTTAACTCTCTTGTACTTGACTTTATAATCTATAAAACCCATGCAAGTAGAGCTGTTATGATCCCAGTTTTGTATTTGATTAAACTCAGGCTCAGGGAGATTAGATTAGATACATGAGTAAGTTGAAGAAACATGTGGGCCTCTTTATCTTTTAATTTTTCACTTTTGATAGAGACATGGGCACAGAGAAATATTTCTCTAAATATAAGATATAAAGTAACAAAAACAGTGCCAAGTCCCTGACCTGTGGCCTCAAGTGTTGGGGAAAAACAGTAAGAGTAGAGACTATGTAGAACTAAAGTGCCCATGGCCTGTCTAAATCTAGTAATAGGGAGGAAAACCCCTTTATGCCATTTTTCATGAAAATAAAACAAAAACCCAAAACTTATTTTCATGACCTTACCTTATAAGAGACGTAGAATTTAAATAACCATCCCGCACTTCCCTGGTGGCGCAGTGGTTAAGAGTCCGCTTGCCAATGCAGGGGACATGGGTTCGGGCCCTGGTCCGGGAAGATCCCACATGCCGCGGAGCAACTAAGCTTGTGTGCCACAACTACTGAGCCTGTGCTCTAGGGCCCATGAGCCACAACTATTGAAGCCCACGTGCCACAGCTACTGAAGCCCCAGCGCCTAGAGCCCGTGCTCCGCAACAGGAGATGCCACAGCAATGAGGAGCCCGCGCACCACAGCGAAGAGTAGCCCCCGCTCGCACAAACTAGAGAGGGCCTGTGCGCAGCAACGAAGGCCCAACACAGCCAAAAATAAATAATAAATAAATTTATTTAAAAAATAATAATAATAAATAAATAACCATCCCAGACCAGAGAGCTCATAGTTGAATTAGGCAGATCATAAACACAGAATATTGTGGGCCATACTTAAGGGATCATTCCCTTAAGGGTTGACAGTGAAATACTTTGGAGGAGGACACAGAACTTGATTTTGACGGACAATGGAAGGAAGAAGGATCTCAAGAAACAAAGGAACTCAAGAAATGAAGGCAACTTCTTTCTAGGGGAGGGAGAATAAGTATGATTTGGCTACTATGTTTTCTACTGATTTTTTTTTTCTACTAAAAGAGGAAATATGTTTATGGCAAAATGTCAAGTAGTAAAGGAAGGTATAAAGTAAAAATTAAAACATAAAATTTGCCAATGGTATATACCCAAAGGAACTGAAAGTAGGGACTTGAACAGATATTTGTACATCCATATGCTCTTAGCAACGTTATTCACAATAGCCAAAAGATGGAAACAACCTAAATGTCCATAGATGGATGAATGGACTAAAAAAAATAACGGTGTGTGTGTAGTGAAATATTACTCAGCCTTACAAAGAATGAAGTTCTGATACGTGCTACAATATGGATGAACCTTGAAGACATTATGCTAAGTGAATTAGCCAGACACAAAAGGACAAATGTATGATTCCACTTATATGGGAGTACCTAGAGTAATCAAATTCATGGAGGCGGAAAGTAGAATGGTGGTTACTGAGCACTGGGGAGAGTTATTGTTTATTGGGTACAGAGTTTCAGTTTGGGATGATGTAAAAGTTCTGGAGATGGGTAATGGTGATGGTTGTACAACACTGCAAATATACTTAATGCCACTGAATTGTATGCTTATGAATGGTTAAAATGGTGCATTTTCTGCTACTTATATTTTACCACAATGTAAAGTCTCCAAACAATTCTAGCCTAGAGGTGGTGTCCACTAAAAACTTCTTTTGTAGCCATCTAGATTTGCAAATACAAGCATAGATATGCAAGCATAAGCATATTCATTCAATGTCTACTCTTTGGGACATTCATTTAGGTGCTGGGAATTCTGCAGTGAACAAAACTGACAAGGTTCCTGCTGTATTGGAGCTTTTTAAAAATTTGTTTTACACAAATGGATGTTGGTATGCATACTGTTTTACACCTCATTTTTTCCCCTAACAAAGATCTACTGATTGAGTGGTTGCATGGTATGCCCTTGTTATGGAGGTGATATAATTTGTGGCTATTATATTGAATGGAGGAGGGGAGGCAGAGATATAGAGCTTACTATGGCTTGCTGCCCATGTTTGCTTCTGTTGTAAGTTAAATTTTTATTCAGAATATAATATAGGTTTGTTGTAAAGAGTCAAGCAGGGCTTCCCCGGTGGCGCAGTGGTTGAGAATCCACCTGCCAATGCAGGGGACACGGGCTTGATCCCTGGCCCGGGAAGATCACACATGCTGCGGATCACCTAAGCTCGTGTGCCACAGCTACTGAGCCTGTGCTCTAGAGCCCGTGAGCCACAGCTACTGAGCCCGCGTGCCGCAACTGCTGAAGCCCGCGCGCCTAGAGCCCGTGCTCCACAATGAGAGAAGCCACTGCAATGAGAAGCCCGTGCACCGCAACGAAGAGTAGCCCCCGCTCATCGCAACTAGAGAAAGCCTGCGTGCAGCACCGAAGACCCAACACAGCCATAAATAAATTAAAAAAAAAAAACAAAAAACGAGTCAAGCAGTGCCAAATCTATAAAGTAAAAGTAGAAACTCTCTTAATCTGTCCTCTACCTCTCTTTTAATCCTATTCCCTGGAAGTAGTAACCACTGTTTACAGCCCATTGTTCATCCTTCCAGATGTGTATGATGCATTTGCAAATATAAAGAATATGTAGAGCATGTATCTTCTCATTCTCCAGGAGCTGGCTCATGCAATATAATATTGCTCATTCAACTCAGACTATTGAGAATTATGCAGAGGAAAGAGCTGGACTGAGCTTCATGAGAGCCAAGTTCTGTCTTAATCCTGCTACTGTGACAGGCAATTCCTCCTCAGTTGTCATTTGTCTGGTGTCCCATAGTCAGTGAGATCACATCAAGGAGAGTGCTTTGGAAACTATTATGCTATAAATACTAGTGTATTTAGAGTTCTTTGATTGCAAGCAGTAGAAACCAACTCAGGTTCTGTTAGACAAAAAAAAGGTGGGGGGACATTAGTGGAAGGATTTTAGGTAGCAAATGAAGAAATATTTAAACAACTGGGTCTCTGGAAATTCAGAAATTTCTCTGTATCTGTTCAAGATGTAATTTCTGGGGAAAAGTGAGTGGCTTAGAGGCCATGTGTCTACTGATGGTTAAGGGGGTTGAGTTCTGGGTTTATGTGTCGCATCAGAATCTCACAGAGTTGGGGAGATGCAGTTTTGGAAAGTATGGGATTCAGGCTGGCAAAACCAAATGTCAGCCTTGAAATGTCAGCTCTTTTAACTCTAGATTCTTACCTCTCAAGGAGGAGATGATCGCCGGGTTCTACTATGGCACATGGAACAAGCTATCCACTCCAGAGTTAAGCCCATACAGCTGAAAGGAGAGCATCATTCCAACATATTTTGCCTGGCTTTCAACAGTGGGAACACCAAAGTATTCTCTGGAGGTGAGAAGGAGATTTCCCCTTGGGAAATTGTGGCTGGGATTTCAGATAAAGGAGTGCTAAAATTATTCCTTAATTTTCCTTCCTTTATCTCATTGAGTTGTGGAATTACTGGTTTCCCATAGCTTGTCTTCTCTGCATTACAGCAGTTTAGACACATGTATTAGACTAATGTCTGTCTGTCCTTTCTCTCCTTTGCTCTTGTTCTTTCTCTCTTTTTTGGTAGAAAACTTTTCACATTGCAGTCTGGTACACAGAAACATGTTAGAAAGAGTACTTAACCTTAGTATGTGTGGTACACTCTGATTTTTTTTCTATTCTGTTTTGTTTTTAAAGATTTTAAAGGTTGTGACTCAAATTGGTGTTATGACCCATGGGTGGCTCCTGTTTGAAAAAACGTTGTGTTGGGGTATAATTGGAATGGCTTTTGCTCAAGCTAGCCTCTTGATGATGGCATCCATCAGTCACACTCCTTTCTGACCACTACATTTCTAGCCCTGACCTCTCTTCTGCACTGCAGGTTTCCCCACTGAATATCTACCTTTGTTTTCCAAAAGTAATTTAAATCCAGCAGATCTAAAACGAAGATTATTAGTCCTTCTCCCCTGCACAATATTTCCTCTTGTTTCCTGGTTTCCCTTTCTCGGTTATTATCACCATTCAACTAATTATGTAAGTTGTTAGGTTTAACTTTTAAGAAACTGCTGACATTGGAGCATTTTCAGCTTACAAAAATGACAGTTTCATATGGTTCAGTCTAATAGAAATCTCAAAGTCAGCTTCAGGCCTGCCTTTCTTTCATTTTCACATCTTGTATGTCACCAACTACACTGTCAGATCTGTTTTGGAAGCCTCATATCCATCCTTTAGTTTCTGCTCTCTTGCTATACCGACTGCTCTGATTCAGGTCCTCATCTTTGGCCTGGACTACTGCAGTTTCCTGCTGTGATTTCTGCTACCGGTATCTAACTCTCCTTATTCATTGCTTATACGAGTTTTCTTCAACCATGTGGACCTTTGACCCTACATGTCCATCCACAGGATAAAGCCTCAATCCAGTCTGCCTATCTGGCCTCATCTTCCTCCCCTGCATCTTGTGCTCTAATTCACTAAATCACTTGTCATCTTAAGTGCCCTGTGCCTTTTGCCCATACTGTTCCTCCATAGACCATGATTAATTGTCCAGACCCCACCAATTCCCATAAGTCTTCCATCGGTAAGAGTTTTGAGTTATTTGAGTTTCTATTCAAGTGTCTCCTTCTCCATAAAAATATTCCCCCTTTGTGCCATGTACTTTCACCCTGCTCATAAAGGACACAATTGCTCCTTTATCTGTGTCCCCATTGTAGAGCATATCGCTACAATAAGATAACCCGTCTTGTCACTATTAGTTGTTTGTGCAGGTGGACTGTGAATTCCTCAATCTTATTCATTCCTCTCGTATCCTCAGCACCTCACACTGTGCCTGTTACCTAAAAGGCATTAGTATGGGTTTGATTTACTTGGTATGAACCCACAATAGAGTTACAGTGAGGACTTTAAGATGACCTGGCCACATCTCTACTGCTTATGCTTTTAGCATAGAGTGGGAAATTTTTTTACTGTCTTCATTTTGGGATTTTTATTTTTTGGCTATATAAACCATTTGAAGGTAGGACTACACATATCATGGATGCAGTATTTTTAGATTCCTTGAGAAATGCAAGAGAAAAAAGTTGTGGATAAAAACTTTCCCATTATTTAGGATCACACTATCATTAGATTTTAATGCTATAAAAGATGATGAGGGTATGAATAGTAACAAACGTTTGTTAGGGGCTTAGTCCTACTCCAAATGCTTTTATATTCTTGTCTTCACGATAACTCTATGAAGTAGATACAATTGTTATTCCTATTTTGCTGAGACATATAAAAGTTACAGATATTTTTCCAGGTCTCACAGTTAACGAATGTTTTGTTTAAAAAAAAAAAAAAAACTAGCTTGGATGAATGGATTGATTTGCCCATGATCATTTATTCTTTTCCTGAATAGCCACAGTTTTTTGTTTTTTTAATCATCCACTGGATAATGCATTTTGGAAACTGTTGTTATATCTACATATGCTATTATGCTTTTTCAAATTCTCTATAAGAATATCCTATCCTTCTTCACTATTTTTGTAAACCTTTTTCTAATTAACACTCCTAGTTTGTAAATATTAACATTGACTTTGTTCATTTGTTTTTCCTGAAATCTTTAAAGTACTGAATTGTAATATGAACAGGATCACTTTGCAGGAATTACCAAATGTCTGCTTTTTCCCTTGCAGGAAATGATGAGCAAGTTATCCTCCATGATGTTGAAAGGTAAATAGATTGTTGGTATGTGAAGGTAATTAACTCTATCTTTCGTATGAAGAAAGGCAGGTATCTCTTTAGACCGAAATAATTCTTGTTTTTTGAAGAAAATAACATGAAATCAACTGTCCTTTGCTGAAACAGATTTACAAAATTGATATAAAATTATAGTTTTCAGGTAAAAATTTAAAGGGAGAGGTTGTAAGGGAAGGAAACATAATGTTTAACCCTCACAATAATTTTATGAGGCAATACTATTATGATCTCAATTAGGAAACTGAGGCATAGAGATATTAGGTAACTTAAAGTCAAGTGATGTTAGGATCTGAACGTAGGCATCCTGGCTTTGGAGCCATGCTTTTACTCACCATGCCAGACTGCCAGGAATTCCTCTTCTACCCCTGCTGGCATCAGGGCTGCTTTAAAGCTTTCCCTCACTTTTTGGAAATCCAGCACCACCCCCAAGACTGTACACAAGCAGATGCATTCTGTAGTAAGTGAAAACATGAAACTCATCAGTTGAGTCACTTTTTTGGGGGTGCGGATGTTAGTTCCCCAAACAGGGATTGAACCCAGGCTCCAGCAGTGAAAAGCGCTGAGTCCTAACCACTGGACCTTCAGGGAATTCCCTTGAGTCACCTTTAAATATGCTTCTTTAGTGCAAAAAACAAACTTGTCGTGAAGTCTTGTCTCTTTAGTAATACTTTTTTTTTTTAACCTGGAAGTTGAATACCTACTTTTTAGTAAATGTAATATCCTTTGGGTTTAGCTAGGTTGACTTTCTCCTGGAAATGAAAGAGAACTCCATTCTAGGAACTAGAGGGCTTTAACTCTGCACTACTTTTGTGTGTATGTGTGTGCCTGTGTGCCTCTCTCTGCTCTCTGTCTCTCAGCAGTGAGACCTTAGATGTGTTTGCTCATGAAGATGCGGTGTATGGCTTGTCAGTGAGCCCAGTGAATGACAACATTTTTGCCAGCTCCTCAGATGATGGCCGGGTTCTCATCTGGGACATCCGGGAATCTCCCCATGGAGGTAGGGTCACTGTGCAAAAGGTGGTTGGATTGTGTTGAAGAGTTTGATGTCAGGTTCATAGCAGATCCAGTCTATGACTTGAGTAGCCTGGGTAGAAGTGCTATAACGGGAGAGGAAACTCACATAGGGACATAAATGTGTCTCTGGAGGTCCCACCTTACCCCTGAGTACTCAGAAGTGAGGCATCTCTGCCAATCCTCCTCCAATCACTTGTGAATCTCCACAGACCTTTGCACCTGGAGTAAATACCACAGTATCTTGCTGTGTAGTAGCCCCAAGGAGCAGAACATGTGGTGCCTCATTTGTGGAGAGTAGCCACCAAGGGCCAGCTTTGTACATGGTGCTGATATGCACATATTCTTGGTTATTTACAGAAAATGGGGGTGTTGTGCACTTTGTTACATCCTAGATCCAGGGTTGTTATTTTGCTGAAAGAACCACAGAACCTCACCTTCACTGTGCGTAGGAACTTAAAATGATAGCAGATACCCTCTGTTTAAGGGGGATTGTCTGGGTGAGTTCCTCTTCCAAATGTGTTCTTTGGGTCTCTGAAATGTAAAATGAAGAATTTGTCTTGTTGAATTTCTCTGAAGTTCTTCAGGAAATGCATCTTTTCAGCTCATTTCCTGCAGAGAGACTTCTATCACTCAGTCTTCAAAGGCTCTTTCCTCCAGCATACCCTCAGTGCCACCCCCAGCCCCACTCTTGGTGCAGCTTTGTCATGACCATACCTGTGTACATAGAGTTACTATCGTGCCTACCTTGTCTGGCAGGCTCTGAGTCTTTTTATTCTTCTGTATTCTGAGCGTTTAACATGCTGGTCTGTGCTCATTATTGAGGTTCAGGCTATAAGAGAAGTTTGTTCTCAGAGTCAGGCAGGTTTGGTAGCCAAAAGCAGCAGCTATGTTTGAGTGAAATGGTTTGCTTGGTACGTGAACTTCTCCTTTGTCTGAACTGCCTTGTGGCTGAGATTATTGAGCACTCCCTGTGCCCAGAGGCCTGTGAAGTATCACATATGGAAATCATAGACTGAGGAGTGCTTTCTGTCTATTGCTTCTAAACAACTTCCATAGGAGTATGTCCCCCCGGCAGCCAAGTGATTCCTTCCTCACCTGGAGCCAGCTAGTATATGCAAGAGGCTGCAGGGTTTCTAGGTGAAGTTGATTAGAAACTGGCTGGATGCAAGAGAAGTTCAAGTACTAGATGAAATGAAATCTTAAAATTCTAGACTGAGGCTATTTTCTTTTCAGTTTAGGGAGCAATATTACCAGAAGGAAAAACTGCACTATTGTTTTATTTTGTCTTCATTAAATCTTTGTGTAGTTTTAAAACTTTCAATTTCTAAAGCTAGTAAATTTGGATTAAGGTATAATAATCCTACCAGTAATTGACTGTGAATTTTTTTAGCTCATGAGGAATTCAGTTTTACTTACTGTAAAACAGCTTAACTTCCCATTTACAGTGGCCATTTCTGTTTTGTTACAGGATCTGAATAGGTACTATGTTTATTTATTGGCATTATAGCTTAAAATTTGTGTATATGGGTTTAAGTTGCTGTTTGCAGACTTTCTGGTGCAGAAGGGTGTGTGCCAGGGCTTGTGGGGACCTTGTGAACAAGTGTGGCTACTGGAATGATGTCCTACACTGGATTCCAGCCCACTGGGGTGATTGTTAACGGCTGTGCTCCTCTTGCCTTCACATTCCTGC